ACCTAAAAAGCCACAGTCAGATTCAGATTAGTTTATTTTTTATATCTATGACCAAATACTTGTGGTCTTAATGATATATAAAAGAAACAAACACATCCTTAAACAGTCCAGCTGATTTTTCTGTTCATGCCTGAGCAAACACAGCAGCTCCAGGCACACCTATTCCCATGCACTGAAGTAGCAGACAAGCGCAAATTAACTGAATTTCGATAAACGTGAGTCACCTAGTGAGTAAAGAGAGGGTGAACCAGTTTTAAAAAGCATAATGAGGTGACTCTCCCGTTGTTTTCTCCTGAGAATGTTTTTCTAACTCTGGGAGAAGCAGTTTTTCTCCACAGTAGCAAGGCTTTTAAACCAGATGTGGTTACAGGTGTTGTTTTTGGTGGTCTTTTCTATTTAATCATCCTGTTTCCACAAACTTCTGTGCCATTTCTACAGTTCCTGACGTCAACATTGCATAATTTTGGCACATTCTTTGCCTGCACGTTCATGCTAGTCTATCCCAGAGGTTACTCTACTCTGCTGGAATTAGATCTGGTGACTGAGGATGCCACTTCATCATGACTGCTTTCATGATCGTGCTCAGAAGCTACTTTTTGTTGGTGACTTGGTGTGTTAACATGATGCAAGCAGCTACTGGAATATTGTAACCAGCAGCCATTCTGGTATGAACACAGTTGGCAAAAATACCATAAATGATCAAAGTGCATCAAAAACACCATCCCCACATCACCAGCCTGGACTGGTGACTAAAGGCAGGCTGGGTCACTGGATTCATGCTGCTGATGCCAAATAGTGACCTTACCATCAGCCATGTAAATAGTAAAATCTGGAGACTGTGGTGCTGAAAGCCCCTGGAGATCAGTGAGCCCAGATGGACTCAAACCAGCTCGTTAGGCACCAACAATACTCTCTCATTATAAATGTTTTCCCCATTCTGATGTTTAAAGTTAACTGCAGCTCATGACCTACACTGAGGTGCAGCTACATGACTAGCTGGTTGATTAGATAAGAGTATGAATAGGAAGGTGTACAAGTAACACACTCCATGTGAATATTTTGTAACGTATGCAAATAATCAGGGAAGTTCACACACCCTCATATATTACAAAGCACACTTATTCCTACAGTTACAAACTTACTGCCCTGCTTCCCATCCTCTGCAAATATCAGAACTCTTCTCTTAACTTCTTTATTTTCTGCCTGTTATTTACTTTCACCAAACTCTGCGAAATGCGGATTGACCTACTTCCTGATTTATCCTTATTTCACATCAGTTCTATGAATGGAATTCAAGAAATTCCACATTTACTCACATACCCTGCTACTCTGAATGAGGTGAAACCCTCACATGTGCAATCACATAATAATCCCTGCCTGGACCATATCTGCTAAAAATATCAAGAAACCTAATACTAAACATACAATCTAGGATTTAAAACCAAAACAAGCGACAAAATAAATATATTTAATTAATCCTCACTCTCAAAGCAGTGAGCATAATGTTACCTCTTCCTCTCTCTCAAGCTAAAGCAAAATAAAGTCCTTCTTTAACCTGAACCTGTAACAACTAGTCCACAAAGGGCTTCTTGCAACCGTAAACAGTGGGTGTGTTGAGAACGTCACACCGTCCAAAGTTATTTAGAAGTCATTTTATAAATATGATAAAAACCCTTTTTTAAAATTAAACTTGCTGATGATGATTTCAACCCACAAAACCGGGAAGTTTACATCTAGCATAAAACGATTATTTAAAAACAAAAAAACGAGCAACAGATTGTTGGTCAATCATTAATGAAGTCGTGATGAATTCATGCCTCCAGGAAGCTCCATAAATGCCTCATAAACCTTTTTGAAAATGGAGGTCTGGAAGTGGGAGCTATGAGTGGAAACGCGCTCCAGCCTCAGTCATGTCTGAGCTGCCTTTAATGCTCGTTATTATCCTATCATTTATTGACACGGAGCTTTAAGCACAGCTTCGCTTGAGTGCATCTTTACAGCAGCTCAGCGCGCGCTCCTCTCAGCTGTGTTTTTGACCCATTTGGCGCACGAACGCGAAAAGAAGCCACGCTTTTGACACGAGGACGTTTCGTGTTTTGTTTTGAAGATGCACGTAGATTCAACAAACAACACAAAATACTGAATGAGGTCGTTTTTTCCCCTCACCTGATGAATCCAAGACTGCCAGAAACAGAAGCGCCAGGAGAGCGCAGGTCCTGCAGAGCCGCATGTCCTCAAAAAATAATAAAAATAAATAAAATAAAAGCAAAATAATTTTAAATGATTGTTTTTGTAAGTTAAAAAGATAATCTAAAATCGCCGCCTCTCTTTCAGATACAGCTTACAGCTGCATTTCCAAACGTTACAACAACAGCAGCAGCGTCGCTGACAGCCACTTCCTGCTCACGAACACTTGCGCGCAGCGGCACAGAAGAGGGCGTGGACCGCAGGTAGAGTACCTGTCCAAACTTGACAGGAAGAGCAGGCCCTGCCGCTGTGCCTTTAAGCAGGAACACTGCAGCGATAGCGCACGCAGTCCGGACTCTTAGATTAAGACGCGGGTCCTCTTCTGACTTCCCTTGCACTGTGTGGGACAATGAGCGCCCTATTTATAAGCAGCCAAACATGCCAAAGATTGTTGGCATCGTGCTGTGTAACCCCCCAAAATGTGGCAGACGAAGGGTGTGGAAGCAGAGCCCAGAGCATAAGCAAACCTCGTTGCATCATAGCTGATAAATATACTGATAGATAGAAGTAGTCTGAATGATTAGAAATATTAAAGCTTCAGAAGGAATATTAGTGAGAAGCAAAACAGGCATAAATCAGGTTGTTCCTGGTCAGCTGGAATTTCCATTTTGTAAAATGGAGATGGAAATGTGATTAACTGTGCGTAAGACAGCTTCTGCACAGCACTCCCGCAGTTGCAGAGACTGCCTCCTGCCTCCACACGCCTCGTGACGCAGACATTCCTGCACAGAAACATACCTGAGGGCTAGACAGCTCACAAACACACATCCAGGTACTGCTATTTGAGTCAAAATGCCTGAATTCAACCTTCAGGCATTTTTGACGTATATGAACCCAAACCTCTACATCATGACAACACACTGGATTACACAAAGTTTTTAAAAAACAGTACACACACACACACACACACCACACACCAACATACAAACGACATGCAAGGTTTTTGGTGAACCAGTCTGACAGCTAGTCGAGTGGGCGTTGTGATGGAAGCAGACAGCTTCACAAGAGGACCTCAGTGAGGAATCAGCAGCTGTCAGACGCCCCCTCCCTCCATCCCTCCCATGCTCCAACTGTAACCGTAGATCCAAAACACGAGCTGCATGAGTTTCTGTTCTTTATCCTCTCTGCGTGGAAGCTAATGGAGACACGCAAGCAACTTTAAATGACCTGCTGTAATACACTTACAATATAATAACAAGCTGTCATTGTCAATTGGAAAGATTAAAGACTTTAAAATAAAAGAGGAGGATTAAGGACCAAATATTAAAGGTTAATAAGTGTAAAGAGCCACTTAAAAAACAAACAAACAGATCTCTATTGTTCAGTTACAACCAGTCGGTGTTTACCTGGTGCAGGTATTTCTGGCTCTTTGGGCGTGTCTGGTTTTAGTGACCGACTTATGAGAGGAAGGTCCTAAGGCTTCCACATGAGGGCAGTATCACAAGACAGATGATCCCAGAAAAGGCTTCACTGCTCCTCCTCAATATTTAAAAATACACATTTAGGCTGCCAAAATATAAGACTCAGGCATGTACTGTAGTACTTTATTCTTTTCGATTCACTTAAAAGTTGAGCTCTGAAGTTGTTTCTGAAGATATTTGTATTTTTTCCAGTTTCTAAATATTTAGATTACTCATATAAAAACATTCTTATTTATTTCTTTTCTTATTTTCAGTTTTTGATTAAAAAGGAAATCCATTAAGAAGTGCTGAAACTCTCAGCTTTCCTTTAACATCCTTAAAGGGTCATCTTACCATCACCAGCTTGTTTGTTCACTGCACATTTTATACATGTTTTTTATATTTTATACATATTTCTGTACATTGTTATATGAACTTCAGTTGCTTATGTATATAGGTCCATTTTGTGTCTTCCTTTTATATCTTGTGTTCCCCTTGCTATAAGAGCTGTGTAACACCAAAATCTTCTCATCCATGGGATAATAAAGGTTTATTCTATTCTATTCTATTCTATTCTATTCTATTCTATTCTATCAAAATCTTATCCGAGTAAAAGTGGAGATTTTTTTAACCAGCAGGTTTAAAGTAAAAGGAGTTCCTGTGAGTGTTAAAATATAATAATAATAATTATAATTGTCAATAAGACTGATGGGAATTTTGCCTACCCTCACATCCTACAATAACACCAACTCTTTGCATCTCCTCCTTCACTCCATATTCAACATCCATTATCCAGTATTCACACATTGTTAGTATGAATGGCTGTTTTTATCTTGTAGCTTATAGTTTTTGCCGTATAAACACGTAGGAGTCAGGTGTTTAAACCAGCGTCCTCACAATGTGAGTGCTGTGGTAGGCTGAATGTGCTGCAGGTTCTTTTTCACCTTCAGGCTCCTTCCTCTGCTGCTCTGACACATTTCATCTCTTAGCTTACCCGAGAATACAGTTTTTAAATAGAAAGCTGCTTAGAGCTGAAAGTTCTCACAGTAGCTGCAACAGAAAAACCTCAAAAACCTAAAAAACGGCACTTATTCTTTTTCTAATATGTACTCCACCATTAGACACTTTTAAAAACATTAAACAGCTACTTAAATACTGTATAAGTACAAAATCGAAGTACTTTTACTCGTTTATTTGTGTTTTCTTTCACACAAAACTACTTTCTGTCTAAAGTTTTTCAGCCGCCTCGGAGGAGTCATTTCTTAAGATTTTGCCCTTCAGAGAGCAAAGGCAGAGAGCAAATTCTCATAAACCCAACGAGCAGCTCCTCTTACAGCTGTCTGCACTGCACATAAAATTAGACCTCCAGACAGCCGTGCTGCAGACTCAGAGCAGTGGGCAAACTGGTGCTGAGATGAATCCCAGTTACAGTGACAGTGTTTACTTTGGTAAGAATGGAAAAGACTTAATATTCACCTTTTTTTTTGGCGGATTAGCCTTTTATTATTCAGATGTGCTGCCAGTTGTTCCATTTATTCTTCATGTTTATTCAGGAACTTGTACGAGATGCAATCAAGCTGTCTACAGAGCAGGTCAAGCGTGTCAGGCGATGGGACGTTTATTCCACAGCGCGTGCTTCATCTGCAGCGTTTGCAGTGAGCTCTCCTCGTGTGAATGCTTCTCTGATAGTACAGTGTGATGTATAACGGTCTACATATTTAAGCTTTTGCATGTTTTCAGGTAAAACGCTCAGTGGCAAGCCTTTCTACACAGTGTCAGGGATGATATACTGTGAGGATGACTTTTTGGTAAGTATGTTCTTTTAATAGGTTGTAAAATGACAGATTAACTTTATTGCCTAATCTATTTGGGTGGTGGTGTTTTCCTGGTACTCGTGGTATTTTCTGCAGTTCTCTGGAGTTCATCCATCCCCTGAAGTGTGTAACAGCTGTGGCTTTTTAATCACAGATGTGGTAACTATTAATTTATTTACTTAAACAGTACTGTGAAAAAGCATTTCCCCCCTTCCTGATCTTAGGTTTTTTTTTCTATATTTGTCACGCACACATGTTTCAGATCATCAAATACATTTTAATATTAGAAAACGATACACCAAATAAATATGCAGTTTTTAAATTACCTTTTCATTTATTAACGGATTAAAAGCTGTTCAACCTTGCCTGCCCTACATTTGACAACATTTATTTGGGAAAACTAAGTTCATTTAATTTTTTTACACTCAGGCACACACAGGCACACACATAGAAATGTTTTACTCAGGTTATCTTTGGCTAATACTAGAATTTGTTCGATGATCTGAAACATGTAAATGTGACAAATGTGCAAAGAAAATTAAGAAACCAGGAAGGGGTCAAATACTTTTTCTAAGCACTGTGAGTATATGTGTGATGTCACATGCAAGAAACTGACATTACATTGGATGATCAGATCCTGCAGGCTCGTGGGAAACCCTACCACCCATCCTGCTTTCGCTGTGTCGTCTGCAGACAGAGCCTGGAGGATCAGCCTTTCGCTGTCGACTCACACCGCAGGATCTACTGTGTCAGCGACTACCACAGGTGGGTGTTTTATGTAGCAACAATAGTCCTTTTCAAGAGCAAAGGGGGAAACCCTGCCAGACAGGCTGAACAGGAGAAAACTCACACCTTTGTTGACTTCATGTTTTAACCTCTGTGAACTTTCACTGAAACTTCTTCACGGTTTCAGGGTCCAGGCTCCCCACTGTGCTGCCTGCAGGTTGCCGATACTCCCAACAGAAGTGAGCTTCACAGAAACTATGCAAAATATTTGATAATTCAATTCACAGCAAATGATCTCACAAAGAAGCACTCTGAGTGCTTTGTTATCTCTTTTTTTTCAGGGATCCACAGAGTCTATTCGAGTGACATCCTGTGACAGAAACTACCATGTAGAGTGCTACAGGCCTGGTGTTAACCTCATTTAACAAAGACAGATTCTGTGATACTTAATAAGATACTCTAATAAAGTCATCCACTCCTGCTATTTGTTTCTCCTTAGTTTTGTGTGTGGATCTGTGTCTCCTCTGATGCACCTCCACCTGTAGGCAGCATTCGCCGCACACTAGCACCACCTTGTGTCTACATCGGGTACTACAACCACCTCCCATCTCCCGGAACTGTTCGCGATAAGCACTGATAATGGCGTCAGTCACGGTACGTGGCTTGGCTCTCTGCACTACGTCTTTGCTAAACTTTGCGTTTGTTTTCATATCCGGTGCAGATCTCATTCGGTTTGTCTCGTTTCGAGCCATTTACCATAACATCACGGGGGAGACGACACTCTGTCGAGGTAAGTTCCCGTAAGCGGCAGGCGGCCAGGAGCGATTACCAAACACTGGTGGAGGCGATATCTGTAAAACCGTTAAATACCTCATATACTTTTTGGCTATGGAAAAAATTACTGTATAGGTTTATATAAGTATGATTTAACGAATGTTAAATTCATATACGTCATATAGTTCAATTATTACGTTCTCCATATGTGCTATAAATACCACTGGGCGGCTATCTCGTATCAGCGCCCGGCTAGCTCAGTCGGTAGAGCATGAGACTCTTAATCTCAGGGTCGTGGGTTCGAGCCCCACGTTGGGCGGTGAGATTTTTTTTCCTTATGTTTTTTTTAGGGCTGTTTTTATTATTAGGGCTATTTTATTCTGTTTACTAAAACAAAAATTATCATTACGGGCTTAAAAGCATAATTTGCTTATCGCCAATATCAAATATCGACCAAATGACGAGTGTTTGAAAGCTGATTTCGGGTGAGCAGGAATACTGGGTTTGTTAATTAGATTAATTAGCTATTCGTGGTAACGTTCGATTTTCTGTTTTGTTTTTTGTGGCATTTTCAATGAGTGCTTATTAACAGTAATTATGTTATTAGGATTGCCGTCAATTTTAAAGTGACGTGTTTTCCTCTGATTCCCCACGGCTAAGACTCCATACCATGGTCGGTGGCCCTGCGGGACAGCTCTGTTCTGAGGGCTCTTGCTGTGGATCTGGGGCTCCTGGCCCTCTTCATCGTGCAGCACAGCCTGCTGGCCTGGCTGCCTGTCAAACAGGCCCTGCAGTCAGTGCTGGGGCCCCTCAACAGGACAGCATACTGCTTCACCACAGCACTCGCCCTCCAGGTACAGCAGCGCCCTTTCTCTGAGTGTTTACTGTCACATAGAAGCATAACTTACTCCTACCTTAGTGTTAATCACACCTTTCAGTGTGCATCATTGCTCTGTTTCCTGTGTTAGATCTTGATGCGGTACTGGCAGCCTGTGACTAACGCCCCCTGCCTGTGGTCAGTGCGTCAGGCACCCTGGAGTGTCTGGTTCCCCCTGCTCTGCTTCTCGCTGCACTTCCTCTGTTGGGCCATCATCTGCAGCATCCTCATGATCTTTGATTACCCAGAACTACTGGGCATCAAGCAGGTAGGGATCAAAAACAAATGCACATGTTTGTGCTTTCAGATGCTGGAAAATCAGAGGCTGCTCAACTAAAAATACTAAAAAAAATCTATGATTACAGTTTGCTTTATTTGTGGCTGTTGATTACTGCTTGGTTAGTTGGTGTTCCTTAAAAGAATTAATTAACACCACTTTAAAATATCGTGCTCTTAAACAACAAGAAGCAAATGGATATTTACTGCACATATGCTCCCTGGCCGTTTCATTAGGTACAGCTTTTCAACTGGTCAATAACAAAAATATCTAATCAGCCAATCACATGGCAGCTCAGTGCTTGTAGGCATGTAGACATGAGCAGCTGACCTGCTGAAGTTCAAACTGAGCATCACATGGGGAGGAATTTCAAGGTTTTAATTTTCAGCACCCATCAGTATGAATCACAACCCTAATCAGAGTTTTCACTGTTGTGGCTGAGCAGGACTGAAAGATTTTACTGCAGTGAGAACTGAACCTCCGTCCCCAAATGTAAAGGCTCTCCTCCAGTAAAGCAGTGCTAGTGTGGTGCCAGTATTGCCTTGGTGCACACATTTTGATCATTTTTGAAAACCAGCGGTTATTAACATCTATATGTTTCACCTGTCACCTGGTGCTCTGGGCCTAACTCCGTATTTAATGACTCTGACCCTTTCCACCACCATCTTATAATTACATTTTAATGAAATGCCCTTTTAATAAATAAAGAGATTACAATACTGACCCAAGTAATCTGCATTACTTAGATCAGTAACTTCGGTGCTCCCGGAGGAGAGCGTGTGTATGGGCATGAATAAACTCCATTTACTGACTCACCTCCTCCCTCAGGTGTATTACGACTGTCTCAGATTGGGGGACCCCCTCTCTCACAAGTCGCCCCATGCCCAGCGCCTCCTGTCCCACCTGCGCCACCCGGTGTGCCTGGAGCTGGGTGTGGTGCTGTGGCTCCTGCCGGCCTTATCCCTGGACAGGCTCCTGCTGGCGGGGGCTCTGTCGGCCTACCTGGCTCTGGCGCACTCTCTGGACAAACAGGATTTAGCCTACCTGTGCGTGCAGCTCAACAGTAAGATGCAGCTCTTTGCGCAGCCACACGGAGGCAGCGCCGACGCCACGCCCAACGAGGACACTGACGACCACAAGAAGAAGTGAAGCAGAGGTCTTCCCAGTGCTTTGATCTGAATCTGTCATAAATAATGTTTTAAAACTGACTACAAAAGAGTTTCTGTAGGCCTCTTGAGCCTGATGTCTGCTGATTTTGTCATTTCAAATGTATTTTATTACAGTTTATGCCATCGTGTGAAAACACAGCCGCCCCCCCTGCTCGTACAGAGGTATCACTTTTCTTAAAACTACTAATTTTGATACAATTAGGTTGAAACATTTTTATACTGAATATTTTTTAATACATGAAATTGTTTTACTGTATAGTCTTACTGGCTGTTACAGTGCCCAAGACAAGTACATTAACACTGTGTTTCTCTGGAAGCTAATTTCAGGTTTATCTTTCCTTTGAAAACCGACGTTTCACTGAGATTTTACACTGGTAAAAGCTTTTTTCTTTTTCTGCTCTGTGACAGAACAAAGTGACAATGTTTCTGCTACAATGAATGTATCTCCTTCAAAGCTTTTCCTCGATGGTGAGATCAAACCGATTGTTTAAAGACGTGAAGCTGAACGTATCGAACAAACTACTTTTAACGTTTATCATGCTTGATAAATAAGGTATTATCAAGGCAGCCAGTATTAGTATTAGTGGATTCTGTAATGTCTCATTTGGTATGTTTTTTTTACACTAATGTTTTCCCCATGTGTGCCTTACTGTAATTACAGTGACAGCTTTCAGTATTTTTAAAAACATGTTCAATAAAAGTGGAAAGTTCACTTGTCCTGGTAAATTGTGTCTGTTTTTTAGGTTTATTTTTTATTTTTATGAGTCAAGTTTTAAGAGTTTAAGGAGCAGATGTTTGATTTAAATTGTTGTTTGTTTGTTTTTATTTAATTTTAAAGCTGATATATCACAGATGAACTACAGCTTTAATAACCGAGCCAGAAGATGTTTTTTTGTTGTTGTTTTTATTTTATTTTACAGGGTATAGATCGATATATATGCTCACTGGCCAACTTATTGGGTACACGTGAGGGATTTTTGTAATTAGGGGAAAGTTTCATATCCATCTAAACGCTCTCGTGTTTATGAATATGAATAAACATGAATAACATTTTTGACTGTATGTTTTCTACATCAGAGACGCTAGAAAATAATTTTTAAAAATAAAAATGCGAATAATCAGCAATGAAGATATTCCGGTAGTTTGGGGTACACACCTCTGTCAGTGGAGCTGATCGTGTTTGATCTGCTTCAATCAAGTCCCGCTGCAGCTCTGCATGCTGACACCACATCCCGTTTCACCGCCCTCCACCTCCACCGCTTTACCAATTAACCCTGCGGGACGCGGGGGTGAGCAAAGGCGGGGGAGGGCTGGTTGGTGGCCGGGCAGACGGCTGTGTGCTTTAAACGCCTTTTCTTAGGTCCGACAATATGGTGTGTGCCACTAAACTCTCCAGAGGGAATTGAATGTAATTATCGGATTAGAGCGCTGCAGCTCTCGAGCTGGAAATATTTACAACCGCACGGAGGACGGAGGTTTTTCTGCTCTGATGTCCACTCAGGTCCCGATATCGTTTGACTGGGTCACTGATCATTTTTAAAAGTTGGGTTTTGACAGGACAGATTAATCTGTTCGTTACAGGCAAAGGAGGTTTTCCATGGTGGAGTAGACCGCTTTACGCACAAGTGGAGATGTAAAGTCGGGGTGGATGCAGTGATATTTTTGCCAAAACAAGAGTTTGGGTGAGTTATATTCAAAATTTTCATTAAATATGTTACAACTGAGGTTATGCATTATGTGCTGCGAGTTAATTCGATTACATGTGCTCTTTTATTATCCTTTAACATGAACAGATAAATAGACTGCACTGTCAAACGTGTGCTTTAATGCCTACTTGGATGTAAATTAAACCTGCTAACATGTTACCATGAGGTGTAGTTGTTCCTCGGGTTTATGTGGCAAAACTTCCATTTTTGCATGTTTATTAGAAAGAAAATTGATAATATTTTATTCTTTGCAGAGGATTCACAGAGGCTCTGAAGAGGAACCGTTTTATCCAAAAGTGGGCACCTTTTCTGTTATGTCTGTTTCCTCTCTGCCAGAATGGAAACAACTCCTTCTGGAGAAAAAGAGGAGAGAAGAGGAGGAGCGAGAGAGGAGGGAAAAAGAGGAGGAGGAGAAGTTTGCCAGCATGCCAGCTTGGAAGCGAGGGATCATCCAGAGAAGGAAGGCGAAGCAGGAGTATGTGGGTGACAGGGAGAAGGAGAGAGACGGCTGTCTGCTGCAAGTGGATGTCAGATCTCCTTCTGATGGTCTGAGTGACACAGACAGCTTCGTAACAGTTAATCTGGGAAGCGAACTGTCGCTCAGTCCAGATCCAGGCCAGTGGCTGGATGCAGATCCCAAACCAGTGAGCCAGGTGTCTGTAGAAACAATAGTTCCAGTCCATGAAAATCCATTTATTCTCACGCAGAGTGCATGGAGGAAGAGCAGGGATGGAGAAACAGGGAACGAGCCAGAAGTTAAGGAGAGAGATAAATTAAGCCCCAGGAGTCAAGATGGGGAGCTGGGGAGAGGACGAGATATAGAGCTGACAAAAGAGAGGTTTAGGGACTTGAGTGAGGGGAGGGAAAAAGACAGGAGCAGGGATAGGAGTCAAGGAAGAGAAAGAGAGAATAGCAGGGAGGGGTGTGAAAAGGAAAAAAGCCAGCTGAAGGAGTTGGTTAAGGATGCAGTCAGGGAGCAGGAATTTCTTAAAGTTAGAAAAGACACAGAGGAAAAAGAAACCCCTTCACCCACTTCTTCGCTTTCCCCTCTTATTCCGTGTCTTCGGACCATCAGAGCTGACAATATCATCATCATCGAGCAGGACAGAAAGGGCAGCGATGAGAGAAAGGGTAGATGGAGGGAGGCAGAGCGGGAGAAGCTCGAGGAGGACCAGCTGGGGAAGAAAGGGGTGAAGATGGACCTAAGGGAGATTCTGGCTGGAGGAGGGAGTGTCACTGAGATCCGAGCCTCTGAAGTTCTTATTATAAAGCCCTCAACCTGCCCTGAAGAGAGGAGTGCAGGGGGGAAAGGGAGAGAGGATGGGGAGATGAAGGGCAGCATGGATGCAAGAAGGGAGAGCATAGGCAGGGAGCTGAGAACAGATGTGTCCTGGCTGAGAGAGAAAGAAAAGGAGAAACCATGGGGCCAGGCAACAGTTATTAATAAAGACAGCAGAAAGGACAGCTTGGATGATAATGTTTTTGTGGAGAGAGGAGGGAGGGTCAGTCAGCTGCTGAGTAAATTCGGAGAGCACCCCAAGCCTCCATCCCGATCCAAAAGCTCCGATAATTTCCTTGAGCCAGGGAGGAGAAAATACTCAGGAGATCAGGATGAGCAGCAGTCCGAGGAGAGGAAGGCAGATGGAAAGAATACGCTGCTAAAAGGTGTCCCAAAACGCTCGTTTAGCTTCTCCGATCGAGTCATCTGCGCTAAGGAGAATGGGATAGGTGACGAAGGGTTTTACGAGAGAAAAATTCGTGAGAGGATTCACTCAGAGAGCGTGGCGCCATGGGTAGATGTAGCTGCCTTAAGGAGGGAAACCACAGCGAAGATGGGGTGTGCACGACTTCTAGAGAGAGACAGATTTGGAAAGCACAGAGTAAAAACCGAAGACTTTGGTATACAGCTTAAGAAAGTCGAGTTTGTTGACAGGAGGGCCGCGGAGAAGGTCGGCGATGCAGACGGGGATGTGGGGTTCACGGTGGCCTCAGTTAAAAACACGGAGGGAATATCATTTGCTAGGAGAGTGCCGATTAGGCAGGATGGGAAAGCAAGAGCTGACAGAGAGGTGAAGCGACCGGCAGGTGAAAAGAGTTTAGAAAGGGACGTGAATGTAGACAAAGATTCAGAGGGAGGGGGAGAGATTGAGGTGAAAGTTTGTGAGAAAACAGATTCTCAAAGAGAAGATGGACTAGAGAGCTCACCCGAAACAAGCAACGTTGATGCTGAGAGTCACTGCAGACATGATTTGGCTTTTACTGAGTGCTCCAGTTTAGGCTCTACAATTCCAGACAGGGCCGTCCATAAAGGTGCAGACTGGAGACTACAAGGACCTTACCTAACACAGTCTGTTTTATCCCCACATACTGAGGATCTAATAAGTAAAATAGAAAAAATAGGAGACACAACCTTTTATAGCAACAAAGACAGCAAAGAGGAGGTGCAAGCAGCAGGATCAGAAAACCTCAGTTATGATTCGACCCCCAGATCTCCGAAAAGGAGCGCACTCACCGGGAACCCTCCAGGCCCCGTGGAGATTCAGATTCCCAGGACTGTGTTTTATGTTGCAGAAGAAGTGGTGGAGAAAATAAAGCCCGGGTGTCAACGCAGCGAGGGGCAAGACTGTCATGGAGGTCGACAGGTCGAGAGGAGGGATAGCTGGAGGATTGGGAAGCCCTTAAGCCGCATAGAGTCTCTGCGAGAGAAAATCAGACAGAGAGAGCTGGAGAAACAGCGACAGGGTGAAGGGAGTGAAGCTGCAGAGATTAGTGCTACTCAGACAGCGGGGGACAGGTACGAGAAGAGGGGAACTGAAATAGAAAAACAGTGGGAAGCTACAGCACACATGCAGAAGAGGCCGGCCGAAACAGAGCAGGGACAGGAAGAAGCAGCGGCGCAGACATCCGCGGCTGCGTTTGACGTCACGCAGGAAGTCGGCGTGTTGAAAACCTGCCCTCAGCTTCCTGTTTCTGTCCTACTGTCACAAACTGTCAGAGGAGAGGAAGTGACAAGCGAGTGTACCGCCAGGGCCTCCGAAGCTACCTCCGAAGCCCTCCAGATATCTGAGGATGAGGACGACCCAGTGAAACATGTAGAAGAGCCGCAAAGGCGCGACTGGGGCCGAAACGCAAGCACAGAAGAAGAACAGGAGGAGGAGGAAGGAAAGGAGCTCTCCGAGGAGGAGGTAGAGGAATACACATCACCTCTCGATTCTACACAATCTCTCTCTCCTTCGCCGCCTCTTCCCAACTCTCTCGCAGCCATGAGTCGGATCTACAACTTGGAAACCGTGGGTTCGAGGTCGGGCTTGTATTTGAGGGACAGGACAGTGGACATCTCATCGTCTGTGCACCTTGTTAAAGTGAAGCCAATCATATCGAACTCACAGCAGGGGGACAACAAAGCATTTACAGGCGATGACATTAGTGGGGTTCAGACAATACAGCAGCAGATTGAGCAGTTTCAGCTGAAAGAGCAGGAAGCGCAAAACTCTTCGTCAAATACCTCCCTGAAGGACAGAGAGACGAAGGGGCAACAAAGAGTGTTAAAGCAACAGAGAAAGGACGATTTTCGGACCCAGCAGATAAAGGACGACCTCAAAGCACATCAGATAAAGGACGATGTTAAAACCCAGGAGAAGGATCAGGAAACACCAGACCTCAACCCCAAAGTGTCTTCTCATCACGCTTGTTCTCCCACACCTCAGGCCAAACAAACTATCACAGTCACCCCCTCATATCTCAGGACCCAATCCCCAGACAACTCCCTGAAAGCCACAGATTGTGCCCCGACCCCGGCTTCTTCCCCAAGCTCGCCATCTCCTGCCCAGTCTCCGAGTGTGTCTCCGTCACCCACCCAGACACCTGTGCTCTTTTCTATCAGGAGTGCCTCCGGGGGCCAAGTGAAGCGAGGCGCCACCATCACAATCACACCAAAAAGGGCAACGGGAGCCGCAGCACGGCCCTCGGCGTCCACATCAACCCCAGCGAAGACCCCACACCAGCAGCAGCAGACTCAGACGGTGTCAACCCCCGCAAAGACACCACCACAGCAGCAGCAGACTCAGACGGTGTCAACCCCCGCAAAGACACCACCACAGCAGCAGCAGGGCCAGACAGTGTCAACCTCCACGAAGACAACACCACAGCAGCAGACCCAGACAGCCCCCGCTGTGACTGAGCCGGGGAAGAAGAAGTATCCAACTGTGGAGGAAATTGTGGTGATCGGTGGATATCAGAACCTGGAGAAGTCGTGTCTGGTCAAGAATAGAGGGACCCCAAAAAAGGTGAGTGGAAACTGTGTTGTTACTTTGTTACTTTGTTTTAACATGTCCCCACATGCTTTCTAAAGTTTATCAGGCATACACCAACGTTTATCACCTGCTGTCACCTGCACGATGGGCCTCGCCATCAAGCCTTTTCACCGAGAGAACATCCCTTTCCACTGAGTACAGTTGCAGAGACCGACCTAAGCTGGTTAAGGCTTTATCAAGCACGACATCTTGATTCTTAGCCATGAAGTCCTCAAGTGATCTCCTTTGCCATTTGCTTGTGCGGTCTCGTGCTGTGCAGATTTTTGACTTTCATCCTGTGATAACGGTTTCTACATATCACACTTTACACACTTAAGTAAAATTGTATTTGGGTGATTTATTATCATTAAAAAGAAGCATGCAAACCCACAGATGGATAAAGGAAAGTGCTTGATGATTGGTGTTAACTGGACTCACTTAAATGCTTCATAGTCATCTGCAGAGACGGTTGACAGTAATGTTGCAGGATTCACTGGAGAGAAAAAAAAAAGCTAAATAGGAAGCCGCAGTGACAGACATCCTCTCTCTATATAATTTTTTTTTTTTTTTGCATTTTCTCTACCTACATAACATGACCTTTTATCTCTGTGAATACATGCGATACCACACCTGCGTCCACAGTGGACCTGTAAATTAATTTTCCTGGAGTTCATGTTAAATGTTCTGTTTCCTCTTTTTAACTTCTGTGAATCCGAGCAGGAGGGGGAAGGCAGAGTTGCTAAGCAGGGCAGCAAATTTTTTTTTTTTTTCACCATCCTGTAATGATAAATCTGGCTGTATTGACAGTTTTCACTGCCTATTAGAAGAATGTGATTGGTGGTAACCCCCTTCAGTCTGCTTCCTCGTTCCCTTGTACCAGTTCAGTTGTTTCTGTTGAGTCAGCTTCTCACACAAATCTCCCTTTGTGTTTTCTTGGCTGTTTCCTAGCAGGGGTTTGGTAGTTAGACCAGAGTCTTGGCAGACAGTTTTTGACCACGCTGCCCTCCCACTGTATACAGCTGACAGCAGGCCGCCAACTACGAGCTCGATGTGCGTGAGATGGGAAAGAAAGCGAGGCAGGGTTTTGCAGACAGATCAAAGGGCGGCTCACTGGCAGAGAAGTCGCAAGGAAGGAAAACTGACATTTTTGACAGTCATACTGAGAGGATTAAAGTCTTGTTATTTGGTCTGATAGAAACTCCCTGTCACGCTGCATGTTTTTGCTCACTTCCTCTTTTAAGACTTCCTCCAAGCACGACAAAGAGCCTGACACAGGGAAGTGACGCGGTGCTCATTTTTAAATTGCCAAATGCGACTCTGATGCTCAACTGTTACATTACCGGACCACCTGTAACCTAAAGCATGAAAATGAAAGTTCCCAAATAGCATTACTGTGGCCTTTAATTAGATAAATAATCATGCATTCTCTGCATGCATCTCTATAATAAGTTGTGTAATCCCTGCCTGCATGTGTAAGCACCGCCCTCCTTAGCCTCTGTGAGTGATGACCACTGAGTGATTCTCTGACCACCTGTCGCTCTCACGTTGATGCCCTACAGACAGTTTGACGTCAGGCTTCCTTCCCTTCCCCCCTCCAAGCCACGCCATCATGTCACAGGGCAAGAGGCTCATCTGCTATCTCATCTAAGTTTTCTTTTCACATGTGCACTTTTTTTTGTTTTCTAGCATAAAATATGTCCAGAAGTGGTAGATATCCTTCTTTATGCTGCTAAGATGTGGCCTTAAACATGGCTGTCACATGTTATCAAATGGAGCAGTGCACTTTTGAGAATCTGAAGTCAAGTATTACTTGATAAACTTTCTTCTTTATGGCTCTTTTTCTTGCTCTTTTCCCATCCCTGTGTCGCCGGGTGCCTCTGCTGTCCCGCTGTGCCTGGGTTAATCGGGTTCAGGGAGGAAGGATTAGCCTACTGTGCCTCAGCATGCCAGCTTCTCTAACCCAGAGCTGTTTTGTGCTCCGTCCACATTTAGTGCAAAGCCGTTATCGTGCACATCACGTCTGCGCTTCTAGGTGTGTTTGCTGCACGTTCAGGCTTCAGAGCCGAGATGCTGTCGTTATAAAACGTGCTGTGTGGGGATGCGCTGGCGTTTTACACCACACCGGCCTTCGAATAAACAAACTCAAACACCCGTCAGGCCAGGCGGGGGCCTTGTTCTCCTTTTCAGCAGTTTAAGAGAAGTGGCAAACCAAAACTTCAGTTTCAGCTTCTTAGGCTGAATATGCATCAGAATTAGTTATCAATGAGTGCACGAAGGGTTCAGCCAGTAAGTCCTTCTACAGACGGTGTATTTCTGCTGTGTTAAGCCCCATGCTGTCACTTAAAATTACACTGACAGCATCCAAACCTCGCTGACACTGAAACCTTCTCCAGATCTGCAGTGTGTTTACATGACGAACAAACAGCTTGCTAAAGGAACACCAACATTTTCCCTGTAATAACCCCACTTTTACTGCAGCATTACTGCAAATCTGTAATGTGAAGGTTTTTGCTACAATACTATATTTTTTAACAAGCATGTAAAACCGTAAATATTAGCTTAAATGTAATTCATCAAAAGCATAACCACGCCTTTCTGTATTCACTTTTGCAGGGGAAGGTGTGTTTTAACGAGGTCAAGCTGGAGCAGGTGTGTGAGTACCCATCGGAGGCCCTCATGCAGTTCTTCAATCCCCACTCTCAGGACCTGGGGAGCGTGGAGAGGCTGCAGGATGAGGAGGTGCAGGAGGAGCAGGGTGACGGGGAGGGGGGGGCGGTCGTGGTGAAGAATACGAGGAGTACGGGAAGTGCAACGGGACCGCGTGTAATAGATGTGAGTCACTTACCCCCACGGCTCAGAAAACATAACGTTTAGTGAGGTCTTTTTCGGCCTTACTGACACCCTGATAAACTCTGTGGGTTTGGATTTCATGAAGGATAACATGCTGAATTTTGGTTTATGGTCAGAAGAAGGCTGAGTGCCTCAAGATAAGGCTTGAGCTTGTCTTATAACTCGCGAATCCCAAACCAACAATGTATTGATCCTAACAAGAAAGCCTGACATTATGCTTCTTCATTGTTTACCACTGACATAAAATTCATGATGTTTCCTCAGTAGGAAAAGAATGGGCACTGTAGTTTTTCTAAGAGACTCCAAATGTGTACAAATTCACAAATAAAAATACTTATGTGCTAAAAACCACAGTGCCCAGCTTTTTAGGAAATTTCTGAAGGAAAAATGGTGACTAAATGTCTCTTCAGTAATGTAAAGATGTCTTTATATGAGTCTGAAACCAGATGCTCATTTTTTAATGTTTTGTCAGCCACATGTTGTTACCACAGGTGATGGTCCCTTCTGTAGCATCAGTTTGTTCAGAGCCATGTAATAACAAGATTAGTTATTGTAGGGTGACCAACCGTCCTCTTTTCACTGGACATGTCCCCTTTTCATGTTCTGTCCGGTGTGTCTGGGGGGGATTTTCGAGATTGATAAAAATGTCCGGGTTTTCCTATATTCAGACAGAGGACCCATGTGTGACGTCATTCCCGAACTGCTGCTTTGTGAGCGCTTGTTCTGCGCTCACAGACGGGACAGACAGCACGCAGCAATGCGCCTAATGATGTTTAAAAGATCCCAAAGCGCAAGTGCATCTTTTCAGACGAACTGCAAAAGAAATTTCCCTCGTACCGACCCAGTACTGGTAATTTTTCTTATGCAGATGAGGCGTTATTTCTGTACCATTATTTAATTCCAGAGGCTTTTAAGTTATTTTTTGCACTTGTTGACTTCCAAAAGCCTCTATGACATATTTTATTTTGACAATTCATTAACCACACAGAGAAGGCATCGTTTAAATATGTTAAATATATTTCTTTAAGCAAGTTCTTCATGAGTAGCTAAGTGTCCTCTTTCTTGGAAATCAAAATATGGTCACTCTAAGTTATTGTTCTATTAAAATAACATACATACACATTCCTTGTAATATTGTTTGTCCATGTTTGCTGAATTACTACCCTTAGCATTTTGTCGCCAATATTTACATAATATTATTAAATAAGATTTACTGAACGGACAAAAAGGCTTTTCAATTTAGCTAGCTGCTAGCTTTGCTGCTACGGGGAGAGTGACGTTAAAAATATACATTTCTAAACATTTAATAAATGCTGGCAGGTCATTCTTCTGTACTGGACACATGTATATTTCTCCTGTCACTGTTGTGGATTTTACATAATTTCCCTAGAGTTATTGAAAAATGTTTTTAGGAGTTATTGTGCAAACTAGCAGTTAGCACACTAGCTGCTAGTCAGCGCATCTGTTAGCTTGGTTGCTAACCTAGCAGTATATCATTTTTGTTTAGTTGGGGGTTTTTTTCCTTTTTTTTTTTTTTTATAAATATATGAACTGTCTGCAAGGGTAGTTAGTCCAACAGAAGAGGAGGTTAAATGAAGGTTAGAAAATATAGGAAATAAAAATATACCTTAACTGTACAAACTGACCAAATTTGAATATCTTGTAAACCGCAGCTGGTTGGAAATGAGGGCAAGCTTGGTAAAATGAAACTTTTGCAAATAAAAATTACAAAGAAATGGTTAAGATTTTTAAATTCAGTGCTACTGTAAATACTAGAGAGCAAATGGAAAGGTAAAATTGCATTTATGGCTCTCACAAAGCTATAAATGTTACCTTTGGTGAATGGGAATACCTCAAAATACAAACTAAAATGACATAAAGATCCTAGATTCACCATATTTACCTTCCATCTCCGTCTCTATTTTTCAGATGAGTCTTGCCCTCGATAGAAGCCAGTCACCTTCGCCAAAATTACCCATCTGATGAGGTCACCACCATTTTATTGAACAATAATGTTGTTTTTTGGTCTGTTTTGATCATTTTTTAATTGTGTTTGTCATTACTTGTGGTGTTTTGTTTTCTCTAGTGTCAGGATGAATAAGGGACCAAATAATTGTGTTTACTTCACGGATAAAGTCACCTAGTTTATTTTCAGGGAAACTGAGGGAAAGTGACATGAATGTAGTAGCACGTAACCCCTCAGCGGTGCACTGCTGGGTGATGAAGGATCACTTGTCTATGCAATATAATGAAACAGATAAGAGTTATATTTTCTAGGTAATATATATATATATATATATATATATATGATAGTTTCTTTTATGTTAATGTCCTTCTTAATTTAAGTCAGCACTGCCTCATCACAGAAAAAGAAGAACTCTTGATGTTTGTATCATCTGACTTCATGTGCCTGCTGGAATTGCCCATACAGATGATCTGAAGATCTGTTAATGTGTTTTGCTTGAAGCCTTTCAGAAAACGCTCCTCTCAGCAGGTGTTATGTGTTGCATGAACGGGTTTTGGTGCAATGTGTGAGGTGATGAAAGTTTTAATTGTTTTTAAATTGGAGTTAAATGGAATTTTATTGTTGCATGAAAAACCACTGTGCAAAGAATGGTTTTGTATTGTTATTTTTCTCGGGTGGAGATAGAGACTGAGAGGAAGTCCCTGAGAGGACAAAGAGCAAACTGAAACTTCATATTAAAGCTGATATCTGACTTTCAGCTGTGCACCATTTATAATCTTGTTATCTTTTGTAATTGAGCATTTTGATTGGTAAAAGAAGTTGCAAATTCTGTGATTCTGTGATTGAAGAACCTGACTTCAAAAGAAAAAAAACTAATAAACATTACTGAAAAGTGTGTTGGCTCCTCTTTTTTTTGTCTGGATACAAACAGACTTTTTATCTGCTTTTCTGTGTCCAATCGGAGTGGTTCCCCTCAAAATGTTCTCAGGAAATCAATTACAATATCGCCTACATAAATACACAAGTTAATAAAAATATAGTATTAAGCATTTTGCTCAGTAAATAATCTCCTCTGTTTCACTTTAGCTATGCTGGAGTTTCCAGTTGTATCACATGAGCTTGATAACAAATTTCACACTTTTCTCAATGCTGTAATTTCATTTTCATTTGCATTACACTCACTCGCTCCTTTGGTGTTAGTACTAGTGCCAGCACCTGGTTAGACCCCCTTTTTGCCTTTAGGACTGCCTTAATTCTTTCACTCAGTTGAGTTTGCACATCAGTGATGAGCTTGATGATATGGTCAGTAGATGGATACACTGTGGTCATAAAGGGACGGACATGGTTAGGAATAATGCTCAGGTAGACTGTGGTGTTTACATGATTCTCACGGTACCAAAGAACACAAAGTGGACCAAGAAAATATATCCCACACTATTGCACCACCATCACCAACTCAGCTGTTAACACAAGTGACACATTTTTATGTAGCCCACTATTTGACTCATGTTTCATATATTAAACTCGATCAATTTGGTTTATTTTATTTTAGAGCTGACTCCTTTGATACCACTTTGTTGCAGTTATTAGTCTACTCGTTTTACTTGCTGGACTCAGTTCAGTTTCTAATATCTGGAAATGTTTTCTTTTCTTTTTATTAGTTTCAGTGTTTTTTTCTTTTGGTCTTTTTAGTTATTATAATATGGAATATGGTATTTGTCATCGTTGTGGTCTCTGGGTCTTGAACCCAGGGCTTTGAGTTTGCTGTCAGTTCATTATTTCTTCTGGAATTTGAGAAGTAATTTAAGTTCATTGTTTTCTGTTAATAGTGTTTGTATTTCCTGGCGATATCTTCTGATGCCTGGTATCGGTTCCTTATTTGTTTTGGTTTTTTTGTGCCTGCCCATATGGAAAAGAAATAGTAAAAACTTATATGTGATTTACTCATGAAAGTGGCCACTTTCTCATTACTTTCATACATTGTTTTAGAGAGTATCCAAAACATACAAGTTTCATTATGTAATTTTTCAAGGGATCTTATATCTGTTTTCACTCTTATATGCTTTTCATACAAGTTTCACACAAGACAGATACAAACTTTATAAGATTTATATATATATTTTCCATATGGGTGTAGTCCTTTGTTTGCTTATGACTTTTGGTTTATTTGCTCTCTTTTGGTGTTCCTACTCTGTTCTGTGGTTGTCTCTGTATCTCTCTGGTAATTTTACATGTGAGTCTGTCATCTTTTTAGTTACGTCCTGTCTTAGATCGCTGGTCTTTCGTATCGAGTTTAACATCCTTTGTCTTGTCATCTCTTATTTGTTCCCTTCCTTAGTGTCCCAGGCTTGTCTGCATTTGTCCTTTGCCTTCCCAGTTCCCAGTTTGAGTCCACCTGTTCTTTCCTATGTTAAGTTAACTTTTGTTACTCGTTCAGTTGTGTTTTCCTGTTTTATTGTGCTAACTGTTGTTTTCTGTGGTTTGTGTTGTATTTATTTCCCCTGGCTCATTATGTCTATAGTTTCCAGCCATGGATCCCACCCGTTGCCTCTCCCATAGTCATTCTGTGAGCACACATTTCAATTCCCTTATGGCTTCTTGAATTATGATTCCTTGCTCTAGCATTTTTAGGGTTTGAAATCTTTTTGGATTCTTTGAGTTCTGCGCAAACACACGATTAACTGCCTTGCAGACACATTGTTCTCAATAAACTACAGCTGAGATTATTTTAGTTACCTAAAAAGAATAAAGAATCCTAAACAAGAAGTGAAATCAGCAGTCTGTTGGGCAAAATGAAAACTAACCAAAAGGATTTTGTGAGCACAAAAACTAAAGTCAAATTTAAAACACTTATGGAAAATGTCATTCACTTTGGTCAAATTTGTTATTACATTTATGTCATGTCATGGTGCTTTTTATTGGATGTTTACATCAATGTGAACTTTTGAAAAGTGCACCTCTGAATAATATCCTCTGAAATATAATAATAATTAAAAATAAAAGTCAAACTAATGAAAAGGAAGGCTAAGGCTAAACTCAAATGACAAAACTTTGTGGTCTTTACTACATCCACCTGTAGTGAATAACTGAAAAGCATGCTGTGTTGGGTTCAGACCACTCAAGAATATATCATGTCTTTGCCTTGAGAAACCCTTGGGTTGCTTATGCGGTAGGAGAAGGAACTAAACCCGTGCTGCTCCTTTTAGCCTTGTGACCTGTAGTTGCCTGCTCAAACATGTAATCAATAGTTTACACATTGTTGTAAACCTTCTGTATGTACCTTCATGACAGCATCTGTTGATTGTAGACCTTGAAAATGACCTGCATCCCTCTCAAGATTTTGTTAGATGTTGTGATGTTGCCAAGCTTCTTTCTAAAAACAAACCAGACTGTTGATTTGGTCACTCATAAATTTTCGCTGTTTCTCTGACAGGCTCACCCTAATGATGGCGTCCCTTACTAGCATTTTTTTTATGATTAGGATACCCGATTACGACATGGTACCCAAATTCAAGAGTGGATTCAGTGTAGTCTGTTCAAGACATGTATGCGATGTCGGTGTCATGAAATCACCTCTTGATCGTAGTCTTATTTATTAATGACCTCTGTGTGAGTGAGTGTAACATCAGTGACATCAAGAACACTGCATTTAACCTTGTTCTTGTAGTTACCTGCACTACCTCCAGTAGATAAAGTTAATAAAATACGATGTTAGAAGACGATTCAGAAAATAATACTAAAATACACGATTATTGTTGCATTTTCGCAGCTGTAAAAAGTGGTATCAGGTATGTTTTTATGTAGTCTCGGGTTACAATGTCGAACAAACCCGGCCTTTGTGAGGTCATCAAGCCTAACAGCGACACCCCGTGGACGGGGGCGGCAGTGCGCCCTTTGTCTCGGTCACGTAGCTGTTTACGGAAACATTTTCACGTCCGCACGTGCGCCAGTTTGTCACTTCTGCACGGTACGTGAGAGTTCGCGTGCCCTCGGCTCGAAGGAAGGGGCAGGCTGTGCTCGGTTTTTCTCCCGAAATATAAACGAGTTCAAACTTAATGCGTGTCGAGCGATGAGGACTGTGCTCTGCAGCCATCGTGGAGAAGTAGGAGGAGGTCCGGGCTTCATTTTGCCCGTCTGACCTCGCGCGAACTGTGCAGAAGTTGTCGTGAGCTAAAAAGGCCCATCTGGGTTTTTTTGTGTGTCACATCTTTGAACACGGAGCGGATTTGTGACGCGAGGAAAGATGATTTTTAGGAACATTCACTCAGGGACCTGCAGAGCATGGCTGTCCCGGGTGAGTCGACGTTTGTTTTCACACTTGCTGTCATGCTAAAACGCTGAAGCCTTGTTATACTCTCTCTGCGTGAGCAGAAACGGATGATAAACGGACAAGAAGCAGCGGGTGTTGCTTCCACTGTCATATCTTTGACTCCTTTTCTTGAAACGCCCTGCACTCTGGCATTTGGTCAAACCTCTGAGGAAGTTCCTGCACTGTGCTCACATGCACTTAGTGCTCTTTCAGCATTTTCAAATGAGGAACTCTATTTCACCTCTTCACCTTCCACCTGCAGGTTTCCCTGAGGCAGGAGCTGTGTTTCTTCTCCTCGGTGCCCCCACAGCCGGTTCCTCCTCTGGCCCAAACCCTACAGGGCTACTTGCGGGCGCTGGAGCCCCTGCTGCCCCTCGAGGAGCTGAGCCACACCCGTAGGATAGTGCACGATTTCGGCCGGCCGGGCGGGCTTGGTACACAGCTGCAGGAGGGTCTGGAGAAGAGAGCCAGACTCAACAAGAACTGGGTGTGTAGCAGAGTAGCGGAAGGGGAAAGAATCAATGAAAAATCAATTGGTGACTCCCACATGAGCCCCTCAGAATCAGTTAATTAGAATAACTTATTCAAAAATAATAACTTATTCAAAAATGCCCTGATTATTTGATTATTATTTCTTGACCACTTGTAGACAAAACATTAATTTGGTGATGTTTTGATGGTTTGGACGTTTTCTCTCAATAAATAGAGAAAAAAAATCAGTAAATTAATAATGGTTGAGGAAAAACGGCTTCTGTGCAAGCCTAAATGTGTGATCTGATGGTTTATAAGCTGGGTAACTGTTTTCAGAAATTAACTTATTAGACCAAGCAGCATTTTTCCAGTCTTCTGTTGCCCAATGTCAGTGAGGCCATGTGAATCACCATTTTCCCCTCAGTGTATACCTACACTACCTTGCAAAACAGTGTTTCAAAATAGTTTTTTTCCCCCTATCGATTAAAAACAATCACTAAAATAAGCATTACTTTATGATATTGTATGTATTTAGCTCTTGTTCTGCATTAAACAAACTTATTATTTCAAAGTTTAGGGAAAAATGTTAAAACGTATACCCTATTGCCAAGAATCAAAGAAGAGTCATGCTTCTTGTCTGTGACTTAACTTTGCAGCAAAAGTCTGTTAAAAAGCTTTGAGGTACACACACACACACACACACACAGACTCCAGTAAAAACAAAAATCAGTGCCTTTGTGGTTTTGGTCCTTTTTTTTGAACTTCAGAGCTGATTTCCGTGCCCTTCCTTTGGTCTCCCCTGCAGATCTCGGACTGGTGGGTGCAGCGGGCGTACTTGGAGAGCAGACAGCCTCTGCCCGTGCACTCGAACGCGGCTATCTCTCTGCCCCGCAGAGATTTTAATGACTGGAGGAGCCAGCTGGTGTGAGTCTACATAAACTGATGTAGAGAGACGGCAGAGAACAGCTATGTGGAAGTGATGGTGCAGAAACCCGTAAAATTAAACATTAAAGGGTGAGATGCTGATGTT